GAGTCCTGTAGTGTCTGTCTGCGATGAAGGTAGGAGATGGGGGAAGAGGGGCCCCCTGGTGCTGCAGGGGGCCGTTCCTGTGAGACAGAACAGCAGCTAGGAGATGGGCAGGTGTTACGACATCTTTTACGTGTTGTTAATGGACTATAAATCAGGCAGCGGACGGCGTTTGTCCTCCACCGGTCCTCCTGATTCACATCCAATGTGAGAAGATTTGGCTGAATTAGAAAACTGTTGGATTTTACTTATTCATTATTTATATACTGAACCACATGATGACTGAGGTCGTCAAAGTGAACAACGAGAAATCTAAATCCTCTGATTTTTCAGAATAAGAGCGCCAGAGCCCGAGGTTATCTGATCATAACCAGACACCCGGCTCCATTTGTTCAGCTGACACCAAACGACCTGCGCTGCCAAATAATTGATGAGTCCAAAGCAACAGGCTCCGCTGTGTGTTTCCTTTGGCATCAGGCGCAACGATAAAAACAAGACTCACAGATCTCAGCAATAAAACAGGCAGTAAGTCACCTTTTGGGCCGTCTCAGATGGTCCACAACATGTCTGCGGAGGGCTGATGGGAGTTTTAGTCAGCGCACATAGCTGAGTGATCTGTCGCCAGCAGCTGAGATTTTTGGCTCACTTTACAGCCTGATCTCAGTTTGTAGAACAAAACCTCCCATTGATATGAGCAGCGAGGCAGTTTCATTACTCTGGTGTGGCCATAGATCACCTTCTTACTGATCTGAGCTCTGCTCTAACCACTCAATCAGCAACTCAGCCTGGCTTCTCTCAACCAAATGGGATCCTCAGACGTAAATACCTGTTTACCAGGAAAACAATAAGCTAGCAGCAGTTTAAACACACTAAACAGGGTAATATTAACGCCTACAGTCTGTTTTACTGGTAAATGTTGATGATGATTAAACATTTCCAAGTAAATATGCAGCAGAGTCACAGAGACGGGCTGAAACTCTAAAACCAGTCCTTCACTGGGCTGAGACAGATGGGGATAAACTGTTTGTGAGGGTTCTCCATGTCCTAGCGTGGGTTTTAAGGCTCTGAACTTTTGTGGCAAATTATCTCTGAAATTAGTCGTTGAGTCATTCTTCTCAGTTTGAGACGAGCTGTTCAAGAACTAGACTCAGAGTAAAGTCACGTTGTGACCACACTGATTTATTTGTGATTCCATCCCATTCCTCTACGTGGCCAGACTAGACCGAAAACATTCCCTACAAAGTGGTTTCTGTTATTATTTGAGGACTAAATGAAACCTTAAGGAAACTCAGATCTGCTGATAATGAAGCTGAAACAGGAATATTTCAGTGAAATTTATGATCCACAACAGGTGGGATCCTGGGAGAAACGATCACCTCCTATCCTTATGCTTCATACCTCCTGTTGCTGATGACGACAGATACACATACGGTAAGCCAGAAGGGCCAGACTTCATACACAGACATATCCTCTCAGCTGAGAACCACCGCAATCCCACTCATCATGGATGGGTTAGGGTTAGGGGGTTTAATCGCTGCAGAACAAAGTCAGGAAGTTTGTTGGAAGCTAACTTTGCTGATCTTTGCACTCCGCGGCACAAAGACAGAAATAGAGCAGAATTCACTTTGGTATAAATAATCATTTAAGCCTCGGGGGACAGATTTATCTTCTCAGAGAGGTTAGGGAGTGTTGCGCCGCCTGTTTTCCTCGAACTAAACAAACTCCATTGCTACACTTTCAGTTCTCTCTCTTTAAAAAGGCGTGTGTGTTTATAAAAAGCGTTGAAACTGTTCTAAACATGTCCCAAGTTCAGCAGTTTGTCATCGATCCTCGTTAGACGGTTAGCTAAAACAGGTGGGTTTTATGTCCCTTTATATAATTAGTGATGTAATTCCACCATCAGCTACAGTCACAGACCTGAGATCAGGTGATAAAAGTAAGTTCACACTGGAAACCAGAATCTGAAAGGTTTTCACAATAAACAGTTAAGTAATTCTTCATCAGTGTGACGGTTTGAATGTTTCAGAGAAGTTTCCACACAGGAACCCAGCGGAGGAGATAAACGCCCACCACAAGTTTGTTCTCTTTTATCAACAGATACTTAACTAGTGATAAACCGATATGAAATTTTTGGACCGATACCGATATCCGATTTTAAGATCACTGTTATGGCCGATAACCGATATACTGACATTAATGCTTCTAAAATCAGCAGATTTTGTATAGAATTAAACTATTAACCCTTTGATGCATGAATTATGAAATCTTCAACCATGGTGTTTTAACCATTTTTTTCATTCATCTTTAGGTGCAAATTAAACAAATTTCAACAAATATTTTCTGTAACATTTAATAATTTACAAATAATTTGTTACATGTCCACCTCAGTGAACAGCGTGCATTCTGAACATGAAATATGTTGGCTGGACTTACTGAAGTCCAAATGGAGGGGCTCAAATGCAATAAAGTCTTCAACATCTGTGCTTAATAGCAAAATAAATAAATAACAATTTTGAGTACCTGTCCACTTTAGTGACCATTATGCATCAAAATGTGTGTACACACAACACACACATTTACAGTTCTGAGATTATTTCATTCAATGTTCACATGACTAAACAAATACACATCCCCACCCCCACCCCCACCCCACCCCACCCCACCCCACCCCACCCTCTGAAACAGGCAAATAAATGGTGACAAGATGAAAAAAATATCGGCTCGGTTTTAATTATTGTTTAGCAGTCTGTTGTAAATTTCTCTTACAAGTGTCTGTAGCTCTGCCTTTGCTGCCTGGTTTAAAATACCACCAAGCTGCAGATATTTTAGCTCTTCTGAGGACACATGTTAGCTCTGTGTTAGCAGGGTTGCTAACAGCAACACTTGGTGTCCGAGTCCTTGCCTGCTGTAAATTGTGACGTTACTGTGTTGTTTTCGTACAAGAAACAAATATTATTGATGTAAAGGGACTTATTAAAAGTCTTTTATTTTCTATTCGACAATCTCTATCTCAGGATTAATTAAAAAAGTCATGTTTGTTGTTTTAAGAAGTTAAATCCAATTTATTTCTCCCGATTCAGATCCCTTCGAAAACGTGATCTGGCCTGATTTCTGATCACGTGATCAGATCGGAGCATCCCTACTTTTAAGGGTGAATTTGCAACCAGTTTAATCAGAACTGTAAAAAGGAGTCCCTCAAGGCTCAGATATTGGCCCCAAATTATTCTCCATGTTTATAAACAACAATACTATTTGACAAGGGGAGACAAGGGGAGACATAATTGAGAGGGTTCATCCCACCGATGTGGGTAACTGGGTGAATAAAAATCTTTCTTTTAGAGCAGTAGCTTCCCATTTTGTTCATTTAAGGCAAAAATGAATTCAAAATGATAAATTGTGCAAAGTAAGTCAACATTCCACTCAATGCGACGCAACGTTTGCAGGTTAAATGTGTTTAAAAGTGCAGGAAACATCAATTCAGACTAGAGCTGAAACGATTCCTCGGGTACCTCGAATAATTCGAGTACAAAAAATCCTCGAGTCAAATTCTCTGCCTCGAGGATTCGTTTAATTCATATTTAATTAATTCATGGCTTTGCAATCGCCCGGGGTCATGTTTCACCCGGACCGAAATAAGTGACGCACATGCCCACTGCACTGAATGCACACGCGAGTAGCGAATATAACTTAACTTTCTCTTAACAACGTGAACCCCGGTGGAGTGCGAAAAAGACAGAAAAAGTCAAAGTTGTGGGACCATCTTTCACGTTGTAAGACGGAAAACGTAGTCCAGTATAAATACTGTAAAATGGATTTAGCCTACCACAACACCACATCCTCCGTGCTGCAGCACCTGTAAATGTCACTTCTGCAAGCGGACTCGGAGCCTCTACAAGATAATGCTTTTTAGCCTGTTTTTCTATATATTCTGCGGACACTGCGACTTTTTCGTTTGTAGCACTCAGTTTCAGCTCACACCGTACATCTGGTAGCAACACGTCGGACTTAAAATGTGCTAAAAATAGCAGTTTTTACACAATATGTCGGACTTTCTATTGTGTTATTGATGTCTGTTGTCCCTCGGGGTTTCTGCAGGAGGACACGGGTATTTATGAGTGGCGGAGGAAAACGAAAGAAAGTAAATAAATGTTTTGTGATCAGTATAATTTGACAAAACCACAGCAAACATGCTTTTGGCAATCCTTGTTAGTGTGAGAAAAAAAAGTGTAGAAATTAAAACGGACGTGTGTTAATAGGGAAACAGCCGGCGAGCTGTTTGCGCCGTGAGCGGTTCTGGTTCTGTTTGGGCCGCAGCCGCTCGCAGCGTTATCCTCCTAGTTTTTGTCTGGCTTGCAGGCTAGCAGATTCTCACACGAGGGGAAAATCAGCTCAGGTTGTTTACTTATTTTTTGCACAGGCATTTGTTTACTGTGAAGTAAAGTTTAAGTGCTGAAGTTATGCAAACTAATTTTGAATAAAACTTGAAGAATAACTGGCAATTGCTTGCTCATTTTAAGAGGTCTTTCATAATTATAACATGCTATTTGATATCAAATCACTTTTATTGTCACGTCACATGTGCAGGTACACTGGTACAGTACATGCGAGTGAAATTCTTGTGTGCGAGCTTCACAGCAACTGAGTTGTGCAAAAATACAGTAATGTAAAAACAAGTAAAATATAAAAATAGCTAATCTAAGTATACAAATGAATAAAGTAAACAATAAGATAAGAGATATAAAATGTACAGAGGTTGGTATGTGCAAAACAGTGGCATTAATGTACAGTATGGAGTGTGTAATGTTGGAACTTGGTGGAGCTCGCGACGAGGCAGCCATACTCGACGCCATCTTGGCTCATCAATATATGATATAATGGTTTACAAACACAAAAGGGTAATTTATTAGAGTACTCGATTAATCGAAAAAAAGATTCGATAGAGTACTCGATTACAAAAATATTCGATAGCTGCAGCCCTAATTCAGACATCACCAGAAACTCACCGCCAAAGAAGCTCTTCACCTTCAGATAGCCCACACTGAGGCGGAGCACCGACAGCTTGTCCAGCCGGGCTCGGACCTCCTCGGAGAATGGCAGCAAGTTGGTGAGCTTGTCCAGCTCACCATTGAGCCGGTCACGATGCCGTTTGGACGGGTTGGACTTTGTGCCATCAGGCGGGGGAGGTTTGGGTCTGTGGAGGTACGAAACAAAAAGATTGTGAAATCACAACACAGACGACGACTAGGAAGCTTCTTCTGAAACCTAAACCGACTTCGGTTGGACGCTGTACAGAGCTGTTTCAGGCCGAGTAGCGCTGGTGGAAAACCAGCTTTTTAGTGTTTGTCTGCATGTGTGTGTGTGTGTGTGTGTGTGTGTGTGTGTGTGTGTGTGTGTGTGTGTGTGTGTGTGTGTGTGTGTGTGTGTGTGTGTGTGTGTGTGCGTGTGCACAAAGAAACAACAGCTGAGATTAATACACAGACAGCATGTGACACAGCAGGAATAAAATGGGGAAAAACCGAATCCAACAGACATGATTCTTCTGAGACGTTACTTCACATTTAGCTCACACCCAACACCAGAAATTGACTTTCCTTCTTTAAACTGTTTAGTTTTTGTTTGGAGTCTGTATTTCATCACATTTATCAATTCTTCATCACCTGTTGTTTTCCTCTCCAGCTGCTGGGCTTAAAAGGCTTTCACTGAGTGGAAAACAACAAACTTAACGGAGAAGGAAGTGACGCGCGGCCACCATCAGCGTCAGCCTGAGGAAGCCTGCAGCCGCCGGCGAAACGTAGCAACAAAACAGGTAACGAGACCGTTTCTGTGTTTTAAAAAGAACGACAGCATGGAATTGGAAAACAACAAAGCCCGGACCACCTCATCTCTCCAGAGGTCACCTGCCTTAGCCCCATGTTGCAATGGGAACCAGGTGAGAAGAGCGATGTCACCTGTTCCAGGGCTTGTTTACCACCTTTGTGCTGCTCAGCTCAACCTAAAAATAAGAGTTCAACATCCAAACATCCAAGGTTTGTGAGGCTACGATGGGTGAGATCCCCTCTTTCTAAAAAGGTGATTAGCTTACACGAGGAAACCCAAACTGACTCTGTGAACAGTTTATGAAGCTTTAAGTTAATTTTGCACATAAATGTTGATAATAAGTCCAGATTTTCCATCCTACAAGCGGAGGGGGTTGTTTTATTTTCAAAAGTGTACCATAAAATGTTCAAATCAAAGCTGGCGAATCTCAGCCTGAGCGGCCTGTTTTGAGGTAAATAAACCTGACGTGGCCTCTGGTCAGCGGCGTCACACCACATGAAGCAGGTCTGTAACTCAAACCAGAACCAAGCTCACAGAAGGAGTTGCTTTTCCCAAGAAGGTGTGAAGCTGGAGTCTTGTTTACACACAAGTCAGCTGGCGTTTTTGACAGCTCACAGCTGAACAATCTGATATCTGATGATCATTATTGAAAGCAGAAGTTTTCACATTTAGCACACTGCTGGTGCGTCCGCTTGCATGAAGAACTCAAGATATTTTTGTCTTATTTGTTTTTTACTTTTCTTCCCTATTTAATAAAAGGCAGTCGCATGTTTCTGCTCAGCAATTCTTACCGCTAAGCCGTCCTCTCTTTAGCTTTTCACATGAAAACAAGTTTCCACATTGCTGGGTCTCATTTATGTTTCCCTCCCAAAACCAATGTTCTAAGTTCTTCTCAATACAAACTAATGTGACTTTAACATTCATCAAAATACATTCATGGATACAAGCTTAGAGAAGACCTCAAGTGTTTGTTCTGTATAGATCTCCGTCAGCTGTTTCCATGGTTGGTGAAGCTGATTCACGAGCATTTCAGAAGTTTTAAAGGTTTCATTGAGAATTAAATCGGGTTGATTCAACGTCGTTCTTTTAGACCTCTGCCTTTCACGCTGACATGCTGTCAGCTTCTGGTCCAGATCCTGATTGATGGGAGCTTATTCTTCATCATTAAAGTTTGCAGTCCTCCTGCCTCAACAGAATATAAAACAGATTAGGGCTGGGCAATAAATCTAAAATTTATCGTTATCGAAATTTCTGGCTCTTACCAATGTCATTTTTCCCATTTCAATAAATTTGATTTTAAAAAATTTAAAATGTGTGTAGGTTGGTAGCATTTGTGTCCTCTTAAGAAGCTGTACCACCTTGTGTCATGTGAAAGCGTAACTCAACGTAATACACTTGACAACCCCATCTAGTAGACAACTTTTGTTTCCGCGCATACGTTTATTTATCATCAATTTATCGTCATCGGGGTGAAATCCTCAATATATCGTGATACTGATTTTAGGTCCTATCGCCCAGCCCTAAAACAGATGCCAGAAAGTTATGTGCGTCCTAGGGGCACATAACACTGTTCTAGAGGGATCTGGGGGTTTTCTGGACTATGGAGCTAACATGTTGATGTCTCTTCAAACGTCTACCGTCTGGCAAACGGTGCACAACAACAAAAACATGCACCAGCAGGATGTTAAAACAGCCAAGAGTTATCACTGAAATGTCTGTTACTTCTAAGAAGTCACACAAACTATGACTCTGCAGGATGATTAGTGCACCACAGCACCTTTACATTCGGCTAGTTCATCCTGACACATTAAAACGTGACAGTTTACTTCATATTTCAGTTTATATTTTAGATTTGTCTTATTACAATGTTTATTAGTGATGCACTGATATGAAATGTTTGGGCCGATACCGATATCCAATATTAATATCACTGCTATGGCTGATAACCGATATTTGCCGATACCGATATACTGACATTAATGCTTCTAAAATCAGCAGATTTTGTACAGAATGACAATTATTAAAGCTGAATTTACATCATCATGTACACACAACACACACAATTACAGTTCTGGGATGATTTCATTTAGGGCTGCAGCTATCGAATATTTTTTGTAATCGAGTACTCTATCGAATATTCTATCGATTAATCAAGTACTCTAATAAATGACCCTTTTGCGTTTGTAAACCATGATATCAAACAGCATGTTATAAAATATGAAAGACCTCTTAAAATGAGCAATTGCCAGTTATTCTTCAAGTTTTATTCAAAATTAGCTTTCAAAACTTCAGCACTTCAACTTTACAGTAAACAAATGCGAGCGGCTGCGGCCCTAACAGCACCAGAACCGCTCACGGCGCATGCGCAAACATGGCTCGCCAGCTATTTCCCTATTAACACATGTCCGTTTTAATTTCTACACTTTTTTCCCTCACACTAACAAGGATTGTCGAGAAAGCATGTTTGCTGTGGTTATGTCAAATTATACTGATCACACAACATTTATTTACTTTCTTTCGTTTTCCTCCATCACTCATAAATACCCGTGTCCTCCTGCAGCGATCCCGAGGGACAACGGACATCAATAACAACACAGTAAAAAGTCCGACGTGTTGCTACCAGACGCATGGTGTGAGCTGAAACTGAGTGCTACAAATGAAAAAGTCGCACAGTGTCTGCAGAATATATAGAAATACAGGCTAAAATGCATCATCTTGTAGAGGCTCCGAGTCCGCTTGCAGAAGAGACATTTACACGTGGATGTTTCCTGGTCAGGTGCTGCAGCTTGGAGGATGTGATGTTGTGGTAGGCTAAATCCATTTTACAGTATTTACACTGGACTACGTTTTCCGCCTCACGACGGGAAAAATGGTCCCACACCTTTGACATTTTCTGTCTTTTTCGCACTCCACCGGGGTTCACGTTGTCCGCCATGGCTTAAGAGAAAGTTAAGGTTTTTTTTGTTGAGAAAGTTAAGTTACATTCGCCACTCGCGTGTGCATTCAGTGCAGTATGTATGTGCGTCACTTATTTCGGTCCGGGTGAAACATGACCCCGGGCGATTGCAAAGCCATGAATTTAAACATGAATTAAACGAAGCCTCGAGGCAGAGAATTTGATTCGAGGATTTTTTGTACTCGAATTATTCGAGGTACTCGAAGAATCGTTTCAGCCCTAGTTTCATTCAATATTCACATGACTAAACAATCACACATCACCCCCCTCACCCTCTGAAACAAATGGAGATGAGATGGAAAAAATATCAGATGTTAATATCGGCCCGGTTTTATTTATCGAACTGATGCAGATATGTTAAAAAATGACTAACATTGACCGATACCAATACTGATGCCGATATATTGTCCATCCCTAACATTTATACTTCTATATTTGTGCACCTTTAACTGACTGCATGTGCAAAAGATGCGTGTGAGAGTGTATGTGTGTGAGTGACATCAACTTCAGCCTTATTTTATTTTACTTATATTTTACTGCCTCTCTATGGGAGCTGTCTTTAGCGAGCACAAAGTCAACTTCATTGTACACATGCGCAATGACAGTAAAATTATTTTGAATCTTTGTTCCCGAGATCTGACTTTGGCCTTCTTACCTGGTGTTCCATCATGATCGTCATTATTTTATTGTGGAGATATAACATCGACGTTGCACAGCAAACTGAGTCAGTGGTAGAGTTGCGCTGCTGTTAGCCAATCCGAGGTCAGACACCCAAATATCAGAAAATAAACGTGTTTCTCAATGTCAAGGAACATCGCCTTGATGCCTTGGTCTCACCCCGGTTGCCTAGAAGATACGTCTACAGGAACTGCCCAGGCCTTTTCCAATATCCGTGTGCTGCGGAGGCATCGGTCCTTCATTTGTTAGCCGTTTAGCTAGCTGAGCAAGGATACACAGGAGGTGTCTTATTACCTTCTCTTGGTCAAAATTTCCCAGAATACAGAGCAATGTTTAAAAAAGGATGGAGGATCAGGAGGTAGCAGCTACTTTGGGGGCAAATTTCCAATTTAAACATAAGTCAACTAATTGTAGCTATCAGGCTGAAATCTAAAATGTTATTTTAGATCTAAAGCAGTTATCTATGGTTGGTTAGTTGCTTTGTAGTAGCAGCTTTGGTGGCTAGCAGATAGTAACTCTCTTACATATTTGATTTAACCAATATATACACAATTACAAAAGTAAAAGGCCCATTATATTTATATTGAAACTTAAACATATAAGATATAACTTTACCTGACATGTCACGTGACATGACTGTCGCAGGACTTACGGTCATGTGAGGTAAAACTGTTCCATTTAACCATTTTGTTTGACCAAGGAAGGACAATGTCCTCGTCAGCAAGGTGGCATTGAGAAAC